AAATGGATCAAAGACCTAAGATTTAGACCAAAAACTTCATCAATGCTAGAAGAAAATGTAGGACCATCACTCCAATACACAAGCACAAGCAACAACTTTCTCAACAGAACTCCCAAGATCAAGAAATAATTCCAATTATTAATAAATGGGATGAAATCAAATTAAAAAGCTTCTGCACAGCAAATAATTACAATTAAAAGCATGAAGAGAGAGCCTATAGAACGGACAAATATCTTTGTTAACTACTCCCCCAATGGAGGATTAATACCCAAAATATCTAAAGAACTAAAAAAATTACCATCAAAAAAAATAATAATAATCCAATCAATAAGTGGGCGAATGAACTAAACATACACTTCTCAAAAAAAGAGATTCAAATGACCAACAAATAAATGAAATGTACCAATATTAAACTTCTTAAGTGTGTTAAATTATAGATATGCTGGAAACTGTCATAGTTATTAAGGAATATATACTTGGGTATTCAGGGGGAACTATTACAATGTTTATAATTTACTTCAAGAGGTTCTGCAAAAGTAAACTTTATACATATGTGTATATGCATACATACATACATGCATAGAAAGATAAAGAAAGAGAAACAGCAAAAGCAAAACAGTGACAAAATTTTGATAATTTGTGAATATGGGTAAAAAGTATGCATGTGCTCATTTTCTTACAATATCAACTTTGCTGTGGGCCTAAATTGTTTTAATTGGGTAAATCCTTTAATGAAAAATTCAACTTTCAATTGCTTGAAGATAGGATCCACATCTTTTATCTCTGGTATTTATCAAATAAGAGACAGTCTTATTATACAAACTGAATAAATTAACTAACCAGTTAATTAGTATATAAATATAAAATGATAAATAATGAATTCAGATTAGTTTAAGAATCCTGAAATAAGTACACTGATGAGAATCATCTATGAAAACTTGCTTTCTTCTTTTGTAACAATGTTCTTTTTTTAAATTTTTATGAAAAAATTTTTAAATCTATACAAAGGTAGAAATACTTGTTCAATACATCCCCAAGTACTTATCAATTGGCTTAAAGAACCAACTCATAACCAATCAAGCTTCAACTATACTTTCATTTACTTATTCCCCATCCCCTGGAGTATTTAAAAGCAAATATCAGATATCACATAGCATCTTGGCTGTGAATATTTCTGTATTTACATCATAAATATAGAAGCCTGTAAGAAAATAACCACAATTTCATTATCACACCTAAAATATAATAAAATTTCCTTAATAGCATTAAATATACAAATCTCCCAGATTATCTCATAATTTTAACCCTTGATCTTCAAATCAGGATTCAAACAGCATCCATTTAGGCACACTGTAAAATGACAATTCTCACAATCCCAGATAACTGTTTGATTTATTCCCACAATATTCATCCCTCCCCTTTACCAGTAAGACATGAAAAAGGAGAAGGGAATGATGAGTTTTTGCTACCCACTGGTCCAACAGACTTAGCCTCACTCCTGCTCTCACCTGATGGTACAAAACAAGCCAAGTTCAGCAATTTAGATAACTCTTTGTCACTTCCTGGCACAAATATTCACTGGTTTGTGATTTTTTAAAAATTAATTAATAGACTAAAACCCACATTAGAAATGCCTGACTTGTTTCCCTTGTGTAACTACAGTGTTGATGGCAATCAAAGGTGATCATTAAAACATATACTGTAACAAACAATGCCTGAATTCCCCATCTTTACCAGGGAACCTCAGCCAACCTCTGAAATGTCTCCTAAGAGATAAATCCCACAGTAGTATTTGTTTTCTAATACATACAATAACAATGAAAGAAAATATTATTCTCTTTGACACTAAATAGTGCGGGTAAAAGCTTTATGACTCACAAAATTATTTTGTATTTAAACCTAAGCATGTGTTTAAATATATAAGTATTCAGATTTTAATCTGCAGTAAGTAAATTTGCATATTTTCCTTTCAAGTCTTATTATTCTATGCTGCTATCAAGAAATGCCTCTAACTAAAATACTTACTAAAGTGACAACCCTAAGTAAGAGGCTCTCTCTCCCCTTTACTCATTGTTTCAAGCCAGCCTTTCGTTAAAGGGCTTATGCTTTGGAAATAGTTGAACATAAATAGGGAAGGCCCCAGCAAAGCTTTTAGAATTATTTTCCATATTTCCAGCTTTCTATTCCCTATTTGCCTTGTTCTGTATATATCTTCCCCAAACCTCCTTTCTCTTCTTCCCAATTATCCTTTACACATTTTACAACTGAAGAGCTACAGATGTAATCATTATTAATAAGAATCATCAATGGATGTCAAACTATGGATGGAAGATTTTTAGGTTACACAGAATTCACACATGCTAAAATATTTTTTCAAAGTTACTAATTGCATGGGGTAAAGGTACCTTTAAAAGGGAGGGATCTAGTGATCACCACTTCAGTGATCAAATTTGACCAAGCACTAATAGTGACACAATCCAACTTATAAGCCCATTGATGGGGTGTATAAAATAAAGCACACATATCACCTATGAAGTGTTCTTGCCAAAAATGTTTAAGCTGAATCTAATCAAGCCTCTAGCCCTACCCAATTTATAAGAAGTATAGTGGGTAGTCTAGGGACTATTGTCTGAATAAGCAATTAAAGCCAAAATATGAGAAATTTGATTGGAAAACTGTCCTGAACTCGGAGTGGGGGGGGGGGGATAATATCATGAACAAAAAGTGAGGAATACTATTCTAAGTGAAAATATTTTAAAAGTGTAAAGAGACACAATAATCAAAAGTGGTATGTTTGCTTTGATCAGATCCTAGTTTAAAATAACAAGAAAATAATGACAAACAGAAAAAAAAATAGCTGTAAAAGATATTGTGGGGACAATTTGGGAAACTAGAAAACGGAATGGATATTAAATGATAGTAGGGCTATGTTAAGATGCTGGGCAATATAAAAAATGGTAGTAGAGAATTATTATTTTCTTAGATATAATAACTTTATGGGGATTATTAGAAGAATATTCCTATTCTTAGGAAATAGATGCTGAGTCACTTAGGGATCAAAAGTATGATGCCTGAAACCTACATTCAAATGGTTCATAGGGAACCTGCCAGTGTGGCAGAATATTAACAGTTGTTGAATCTAGGTGGTCAGTATGAATATTCTCCATACCGTCTTTCTAACTTTTATGGTTATTTAATTTTTTTTCTTAAAAGGTTCTATAAAATACAAATAATGATGAACTTCTTGCTTGGGCTGGGGTGGCGGGTGCTGCTTTTTCAATCTGTATAAATTGAAGCTGGTCTGAAAAAGAATTGGATTAACTACTGTATTATGAGAAGCTGGGCTGGGGAGAAAGTGGGGAAGATTTCCCTCAGTGGCTACTTTCTATCTCCTTTTTCCTATTTTCCTTTTTTGTATCTGGTATTTACAGGTAATTTCCATTCCCTTCTCATAACTTAGAACAGTCTTCTTAAAGTAGCCTGAGGCACTTGACCAGCCTAACTTCCACAATTATCCTCTTTCTACCTAGGTTAACTTGATCCCTTTTAACTTTAACACTTGCACAGATTCTTTTCAATTTTGACTCACCCTAACCCATTTTCTTCACCTAATTTGTGGAAGCCATAATCCTTCATCCATGTTTCTCTTTCATTTTGGTCACCTCCTCTTATTCACTTTAAAGGTACATTTAGAGGAATTTGCATTTTTATTAAACCTTATAGGAGGTGATTTTTCTGTCTGTAAGCAAAGAGGCACTGACATGGCCAAAAAAAATGAAAAACTGTAGGTATGTTTGTGTTTAGTAGTGATGGTGACAGTGATTGGAGGAATCTATTTACCCCCTTGTATACTTCTTTGATATCAACTCAAAATAAAATAAAAATGGACTAGGGATGTACTTCATAGTACAGTGCTTTTCTAACATCCATAAGGTTCAATAACTAGAATTGTCCAAAAGAAAAAAAAAAAGAAAGAAAGACAAGGAGGAGGGTAAAAGGAGAGGGAAAAGGAGGGAGAGCCATATCTAAATCAGTATAATTCTAATTTATTGGAATAACAACAATTTCATTGTGCAAGATAAAGCCATGAAGGAGCTTTTTACTTTAGTTATTCCCACAAAATAACAAAAGAATATATAATAAAAGACAAAGAGAAAGTGCATTAGTAAAAGAAAAAGGTAAAATAAGAACCAAAGAAAATTAGAGTTTCCAGTAGAGCTTTTATTTAGTTAGTAAGACAAAATTTTTAAAAATACCAAAAAAAAAAAAAAATCTTTTTTTGCAATGTTTTAAAAATCTACATATGAAGACTGTTTAGTCACATTTAAACAAAAAACAAATATTGCTCAATTATAGCAATAGCAAAGCTTCTGTTCATGATCTTTGATTAATTTCTGCTGAAATCTAATATATGAAAAATTTAGAAACAAAATTACAAAAGTAACCAATAAGAAAACATAATCATAAATCTCTGTTTTAAAACACAACCAACATGGTCCTTTCTACTTTTTAGTATCTCTTATGAAAATTCTAAGACAATGTAGACCCAAATAACTCAGTTATAAAGCCAAAATAAAGCTATAAAAGCTATAAAATCATCTTTGGGTTTTAATGGGTTTTAAATACCAGAGATAAAAAGAAGATTTTAATCTTTATTCTATTTTTTTAAGATTCCTAAACAGAATACTGTTTTTCTTATTTAATACTTTCTAATTAAATAAAACATAAAATGCTAGAAAAAAATTTATACACTCCTTGCATCTATTACAAATACGATGTAATTCCATTTAGTATGAATTATTCAACAATACTTTGAGTCATTTAAAACAAAGTATGGTTTACTATACAGTTTGAGAATTAGTCTATTTTTGGTTTATTTTGAGGTTTTTTTGTATGTAAATTGTACTATATGGAATCATTCTACTACATATAAAGATAATTTTCAAACAGCAAGAACAAAAATTATTTAATACACATTTTTTTTCATAATTTTTCCATACCTTTAGCTAAAGCTTCTTTATATTTCTCTTTGGCAGAATTCATTTCTTTTATTAATTGTCTATAACTGGATTTTAATTTCTCCAATTCTGTTTTTGTAACCTGTAAAAAAAATAAAATGCAGAATTTTTTAACATTTAAATTTAAATCAAGGAAGGGAAGAGGGGAGAGAAAAGGGAAATACTGGAAAATGATATTGGCCAAATTATAATGTGATATTGTGACTATATATGAACAAATTCCAACATCATATACAACTATAATGCACCAATGAAAACCAAGGAAAAATAAATAAGTTTAAATTGGTCAAGAACTTGAATTCCAAAAAACTAATTGATATGTATTTTACTACTTATAGCCCTTTACTGTACAATTATAGCCAATAAAACTACGAATTAGCTTAAAATCAGTGATAAATTCAACAGCATATGATAACAGATAAACTTCTCAAAAGAGGAAAATTAAGAGTAACACTATAATTGTCTAAAATCTAAAGACTAAACAAATTAACTTGCAAGATACCAAAATATCCGCAATAGGAAAAAGTTAAAATATTTAACCATTGTATAAAGTAACTTCACATTATTGGAAAACAGATAAATTTCTTAAGAATAAGACAAGACAAAAATCATGCTCTCTCGTCCTTTCAAGAGAAAACTCAGTCATTAACTTTTTTGTTTTTAATTTTTTTTTTAGTTGTTGATGGACATTTATTTAATTTATTTATATGTAGTGCTGAGAATCAAACCTGGTGCCTCACACATGTTAGGCAAGCACTCTACCACTGAGATACAACCCCAGCCCCACTGGTTAACTTTTAAGTTGCTACAGAACCAATTTATTATTGTGAAAATTAGCAAATTAATTTTTAAAAAAGCAAGCATTTACCTGACTTTTCCTATATGATATACATTTTAGGGTAACCAGATAAGAAAAGTCTTCTTTACAGAAAACTTTTAGTTAAATTTCATTAGGAAATGATAGAAGTGAAATACTGCTATTTCAAAAATTCCAAGAAAATAACAGATCTAAGTAACAAACATCAATCAATAGCTTATATTATTAGGCAAAATATTGCTGGGAAACTTCTCTAATATATTGATCAGGCTGACAAGACTGATACCTGTTAGCAAAGTTTACCACCACAGAAAGATAAAGAAGCAGGCATTACATACCTTCTGATATGAAAAAACAGAAAGTCTACATTACCACCCATGATGTATTCTTGCCCAAAATAAACAGAATCTCATTAAGCCTCTAAATCTAATTTTCAGTTTACAAGAAAAATGGAGAATGAAGGAATTATAAGAAATCATATCATGAGATGCAAACAGTAAAATCCAAAATGAAGAAAACAATTCTATTGAGCAAATTATCCACTTTCTTCAATAAATGAATGCCATTTTGTTAAAGGGACAGGAAGAAAAACCTACAGATTAAAAGAAAATTACCATTCAAATGCAATGTATGGACTACATTTGAATCCTGATTCAAACAAAGCAACAGTAAAAACATTTTAACAACAATAATTTGAATGTAGGATATTTAATTATTGTCACTTTAAGGTGGATTGATGGTAATGTTATGTTTTTAGAAGGTCTTAACAGTGTAGAAGAAAAAGTGGGTAGGACTAGAGAAAGAAAAAAAAATATGTTGTCTATGTGGGTTATGGGTAGAAGAGTTCATGTGCCTATTCTTCTCTTTGCTTCCATAACAAAAACAGCTTTAATAAATTATCCAGAAGACAAAATCTGAGTATGACAAAATTTTGGAAATACCTTAAATAAATTATTTTGCCTATTTCTGTATTATTTATTCTTTGTTATTTATGCACAGTGTTACGTGATACACATCTAATTTTTATAAAGGCTAAAATCTATTTCAGTAAATAAAAAGTAATCTAAATAATTTTCAAAAAGCACTCTGTTATAGGTTAATTGGCAGCACGTTTTTCTTTTTTGCACGTAGATAAAGTAACTATTTATCTTGTAAGATATAAGATACTACTTATTAGAAACACCAAATCTATTTCTTGATAGGAAATGATGAGTAAACAATTCTTAAGTCAAACAGGATAAAATATTCGTCAAGTTTAAACATAAATTGAAGAAAGAATTCAATATGGAAAGACAAACCTTGATCATCTCTGCCTCTATCTGCTGATGGACACCTACGTAACTTTTCTTCACCTGCTGCTTGTCCTTGATCATCATGGTAAGCCTGTGTAAGGGTCCAGAGTTTAGATCCTCTGCATGCGTCTTCATTATCCTACTAAGTTGTTCGGTCTGCTGAATCATAAGTAGCCAAGACTTAAAAAAAAAAAAAAAGAAAAGAAAGAAAAATTGCATTGTATTAGAAGCTCCTGTTTAGCTATGATTTAAGTGTTCAAAACCTTTAAATATTTAGCTTACTGTAAATTATTACATTAATATAAAATGAGAGATTTCTGGAAATTGTGCAGTGAATTATGGATGATTTGTATTTAACATCTTCAACTACAGATGCTTCAAAATTCAGTATTCAAGGGCTATACAGAATACTAGGAAAAGGATTAAGGGATCCTGAAAGTCCACGCTTGGACTTCACATTTGTTTTCCAATACGCTGAAATACTGTTCTTCTCACACCATTCAAATGCCCCAATAAGACTACCAGTTCCTAATAGTCAAATAGTCCCATCTTCATCTCAACCTGCCCTTCTGTGGCATTTGATCCTGGCGACTTGAACTTGGCTTCCTTTTCCATCTATCTTTAGTGAACAGGAACATTCCCACCTTATTTTCTTCTTTTCTAAAATTTCCTGCTCAACCTTTGGTGCCTGCTCTTCTTTTGTTCCCTTTGCCTTAATACTGGATTTCTGCATAGTTTCCAACTTTTTAAAATAAATACAATTAGTTCTCAATAGCACAACATAACTAAGGGACATAACATGTTGCTTCAATACCAGAGCTACATAATGGTGAATTTGAAACGAATGGGCATACGGAGACTGCTAGAAAAATTTTATTATTAATTTATTTATTTATTAAAGTCTAATAGACTTTATAACCTACATATACTGAAAATAAAAAAGAGGAATGTTCATTATAGTTGTTCATATATTCTGCTAGGCACAGTGTTACATGCCTATAATCCCAGTGGTTTGGGAGGCTGAAGCAGGAGGATCATGAGTTCAAAGCCAGGCTCAGCAAATTACAAATTAGCGAGTCCTTAAGCAACTCAGTGAGATTGCTCCTCCCCTGCTTTTTTTTTTTTTCTTTTTTTGTCCTAGGGATTGAACTCAGGGCCACACGACCACTGAGCCAAATCCCCAGCTCTATTTTGTATTTTATTTAGAGACTGGGTCTCCCTGAGTTGCTTAGTGCCTCACTCTTGCTGAGGCTGGCTTTGAACTCATGATCCTCCGGCCTCAGCCTCCTGAGTTACTGGGATTACAGGTGCACACCACCATGCCCAGCTGGGACCCCGTCTCTACATAAACTATAAGAAAGGGCTGGCATGTGGCTCAGTGGTTAAGCGCCCCTAAGTACAATTCCCGGTACCCCACCCCCTAAAAAATCTATTCTGAAATAATTACTGGAGAACTATCATAGTCACAGAATATCCATATAAATGATACAACAACAACACAAAAAGGCAAGGAATGATTTCAGATATTTACAAAAATAATTTATTTTTTATCTGTAAATGAGCAAGATTATTCTTGTCCTATTAACATTCTAGTAGAATCCTAAACTGACATTTCATTAAGAATCTATATCAAAGCTACAGCCTAAAGTAGTTGTAACTCTTAGTCACAATCTGACTCCAGGTGTAATTGGTAATCTTATTTTATATACATTTCAATATGCTAAAAGAGTAAATAACAATCTTTGAGAATATTTGTTTGGGAGAGGAACTGTTTCCAGTGGGAAATGCTATTATGTACATAAAAAGTGATAAGTGGCTTATGAACCCATTATATTTACTTTCAAGTTTGAAAGTGTAACACATAGTAGGGCCTTTACACCACAAAGTAATTTAAAACTGATGTAGCTCTTCCTTTAAAAATATAAAATTTAGGGACTAGGGTAGTGACTCAGTGGTAGAGCACTTACCTAGCATACATGAAGCACTGGGTTTGAGTCTCAGCACCACATACAAATAAATAATAAAAATAAAGGTCCACTGACAACTATTATATATGCATGTATATGCATATATATGTATACATATATACATATATATACTTTAACAAAGATGAAAACAATAAAAACTATACAAAATGGATTAAAAATAAAAATTAAATAGCCATAATAATTGGTGTGGCTTTGCCTATTTATCTAATATTTTCATGCTGAAAAATACAATATTGAAAAAATATCCTATGGTATGTGCACAATGTTGAGGTACAAATAGCTTTAACATAATAGGTAAGTAAGAAGAGTCAGTGTTCTTGCTCTAACTCCAAACAATAAATATTTTCTAAGTGCAATAAACATTTGTAATTCTGTGTAGCAGTTCTTGCAGCACAGGGGAGAAGCCTTCTTGTAAGTGAACACCAAAACCCACACAATTAGATTGATTGCCCTCCTCTCCCAGTAGAACATATCCACACTGCCTAATATCCCTTTTCACTGGAGTGACTGCAGGAAGTCCAAGGTCCCAAAGTATACATTATCATTTTGTCAACATCTTCTTGCCCTCAATGTCTCCTAATCCCACACAGGTCACTATCTGTAGAATCTGGTACCCTCAGGAACTCCTGCTTTCTGATTAGAAAACTCCTCAGACCTCTTACTAGAATTTTCCATGTACCTTCTAGCTTTAATAAAAATCTGGTTCAGTTCTATTCCCAAAATCCCAACATTGCTAATAAACATTCTTGCTCTTCCTTCATAAGTCCATGCTCTGTTGAAACTCAAACCACCAATCCCCATCAACAAGTCTTCAGATGCTACCTCCAAAATCTACCATACTTTTCTCCATCTCCACTGCCACTTCTTTGGAGGTTATAATTATCTCTGGCTTAGACATACCTCCCAAATGCTATATTCCCATGTTTCATTCCAATCCATTCCCCCTTAAAATAGCAAAAGAAATTAATAACACTGTCTTTCCTAAACCTCTACACTGAGATTTTTATGTATTTAAAGAAAATTCAAACTATTATCTAAGATCTATAATATCTCCCATTACCTGTCCTCTTTCTCTTTCCAACATTTCCTTTGCCATTTTTCACCTAGTTAAGTAAATTTTAGGAGCATCATTCTTTATTTGATTTCCTTAACATATCAAGCTCCAATCTCCTTCTGGAAGTTTTTCCTATCTAATAGAAGCTCTTCCTCCCCTTTATATTGCAGGATCCCTCTCTTTGTTTAGTGATCAGCTAAATGTCATGTAGGTCTAATCCCTATTACTCTCTCTCTTCAAACAATTATTGATCTGCTCATATATTTGGTAGAATTGTTTTCTTTTTAAAAATAATTTTAGTTGTAGATGGTCACAATATCTTTATTCATTTTTATGTGGTACTAAGGCTTGAACCCAGTGCCTCACATGTGTGAGGCAAGTGCCCTATCACTGAGCCACAACGCCAGCCTGGATTTGTTCTTTTTAAGGCCTCCAAAATTAGAATGGAAGTTCTGTGAAGGCAGTATCATGTCTCTTTGATCATATTTCAGGTATTTACTGTGATGTCTAAAATAATAAATAACAAACATTCATTGATATAAGAAAAGAAGGAGGGGCAAACAAAGAGAAGGAGGGATGATACAGAATAAAACCATGAATAGAATATATGCCATAAAAAATAATTTTAAAAAATTTAACACAGAATTGTACAAAAAACAGCTTGCTAATAATGTTGCTTATAGTGAGATTTTACCAGTAGTAAAAGTCACTGATCCTTAAAGTTACAGAAAAGTTAAGAAATATTAAAAAGTAATAATAGCTTAGAAGTAGACTATATGATTAGCATGCATGATTCAATTCAATTTTGGTTCAATCCCCAGAACCAAAAACAAACCTTACATTTAATTTTAGAAAAATTTAATCACATATAAAGAACAACAAATTTGAAAAAAAATACTATAGGAAATTTTACAAAATAGAATTTAAATATAACTATTAACAGAAAAGCTACAAAATAGAAAGGTACTAATAATTTAACTGTAGTAGACTATACAAAATCCCAGAGAATACTAATAAAAATTAGGAGTGACTGATGGGAAGTTTATTTCCTAACTTTTCACAGAGAAGAGTTCAAATATAGCTTTAGTTCTAAAGTTTATAAATCAAGAAATATATGTTTAAGTGTGCAATTCTTAAATTTCAAAAGGTAAATAAGTGATTGTTTAGAAAAAAAACAATTCATCTACCTTTTGTAACATTAGAACTAATTTTTTGGATTTTCTTGTTTGGTTTGGTTTTTTGTTTGTTTGTTTGTTTGTTTGTTTTTGTATGTTCTGGGGACTGACCAGAAGCCCATATGCATTCTAAAAAAGCACATACTCTACCACTGAGCTATCCCCCTCCTAGCCCTGAATATGAGTTTTAAGGAAAGATAACACTGTCCTTTAAAAAAAGAGAGAGAGGAAAGAAAATGAAGGAAAAAAAAAAAAAACAATGAATAACAACTGAAAATAAGTTACAAAATAAAAATGACACTCAACATATCTGTTAAACATATGAAAATTAGATAAACATCTCTGATTAAAAACATCAAGTTGGGGAGGGCTAAAACTTCACTGCATGCAATACATAAAAAACAGACACAAAGTGAAATAACATTTAACAATAACAACAACAAAAAGACAAGTAAAAGACCCCCAGAAAAATGTGAACAAGATCCAGCAGGTTACATTCAAATGACACACAGTTGAATTTTAGGCACAAACTATAAAAAAAGAATGTCAATTAAAATGAATGTATAACTATGAGAAATCTTTATGTTCCGCAAAACAGTGCCATCGAAATACGAAAAATAAAAATGATGGACAATACAATAACAAATCAAAGTAGTGACAGAATTACGTACACCCATCTCTGCTTGTGACAGATGAAGTTAAAAAAAAAAACTATAGAGTATCAAGTAATTTAATAATCAATCTATTTGACCTATCATTATATATTTTTTTATAGTACTAGAGGCTCAAACCCAGGACCTTACATATGCCAGGCAAGTACTGTACCACTGAGCCACATCCCCAGTTCTAAATAAATTGATTTAAAATAAATAAATAGGGCTGGGGATGTGGCTCAAGCGGTAGCATGCTTGCGTAGCATGCGTGCGGCCCGGGTTCGATCCTCAGCACGACATACAAACAAGG